CGTTGTTGAGGGCAGTGCAGGCGATGGCAGGACTCGCAGGGCGCCGGTGACGATGTCAAACACAAACACCGCAGCGTCGCGCGTCCAGTCCGGTCTGGACCTGTCGGCTTGGCGGCACCTAACCTCACTTCGCGCTACGCTCCGGCCGGCGGACGCTCTGCGACTGATGCTCTGACGCGCTGGTCTCGGACTGACTGACTGCTGACCTGGCTGCCGGCGGCCTGGCCTGCGGTCGGCCCGGGGAGAACGCTCCAAAGTCCCAGTCCCAGGTCAGGGTGCTGCAAAGCTGTGCGCTGCAGCAGCGTGCAGGGAACAGGGAACCCCCTTCGCCGAAGCCGCGCCGCCGGCCGGCAGTGGCGGGGGCGCTACCGTTTCGGTTTCGGCTTTTCCAGGGTCCGCGCCTCTCTCCCCGCCCTCCCCTCCCCACCCCACCCGGGGCTCACACGGGGCGCGTCGCGCAGCAGCCTGATTCCGAGAGTCGTTTTCGTCGCTCTGTCTCCCTCGCACTCATGGGGCATCCCCTATAGGTGCGAGAGAGACAGAGCGACGAAAACGTACAGCGTACAGTCCGATCCGAAAGGGCGGAAGGAAACGAGAGCAGCGCCGGAAGAGCTGTTGGTTCTCAGGAGACGAAATAATGACGACATCAACAACAATTCGTAACGGAGATTCTTGAGTTTTATTCAAGAGAAGCAACAAAACACTGCAATTATTGCACAATCAATGAATGGGTCGTCATGCGGAGGGCTGAGTAGAAGAAGTCGAGGCGCGAGAAATTGAGTTTTGAGCAATCACGGGGTAAGACTGTTCGAAGCAGAGGGATGCAGGGTAGGCAACACGTGTTACGTCACAGTATAAAGAGAGTCGTGTGGGTTGCCTGCCCAAACCCACAGGCTGTTATTGCTGGACGGCTGGACCTATATGATCGTATGCCAACCGACCACCGACTGGATCCTGCTGGGCGGCAATCTCAATCTAGAAGCCGACAATGCCAACTAACAGCCGGCAGCTTGATGAAATGGATGAAATGCAAAGATGCGGAAGAAGGTGCGCTTCGTTTACGAGCGCGAGAAGACGGCCACCCGCGACACGTCGCCGTTGTACTTGGCGTGGTGCGCGTTGAAGGCGGCCACGTGCTTGTTGTGGTGCTGCAGGAACAGCCTCCGCTGCGCGTCCGCGGCCGGCGTCCGCACCCTGGCCACGGCCTCGAGCTGCGCGCGCCGCTCCGAGGAGAGCAGGACGCCGGGCCGGCCCTGGGGCGCAGGCGGTTCCGGCTCCTCGCCGACCATCCCCGACTCGCCCTCGTCCACTTCCTCCGTGATCGGCGCCGGCTGCGGGGACAGAGAGGCGACAGAGAGAAATCGAAGCGGGAAACAAAATGAAACCGATGTTACGGGGATGGATGTGGAGAGCGCGGCGATAGCGGCCAAATCGCACACTAATCGATACTCAATCCACTGTGAAATCCTCGAGGCGGGGGCGCGGGGGCGTCGCGGCGTAACAGCGCTGCTTAGCCTGCGCGTGCCGGCGCTGCCGGCCTGCCCATTCACTGGCACTCCACTACACGGGAAACGGCCTCTTTGCGGAGCTGATCTACGCTGCCCCTTGATTGTAGGCCTCCGTCGGGGTAAAGGGGGGGGGAGGAGATTGAGCGGAAGGGAAAGCCGGGGCTGCCGAGGCCTAGGGCGCTCGAGGGTGAAGCAATATGCCGTCCTTCCGGGAAGTCCTACAACATGCCACTCGTCAAAACAGTTTGTTTGCGCGGAGTGGCGGGGCGGGGCGCGGGCGCGGTGGCTGGGGGTCGCGCCGTCGCGCCCCGTGGAGCAGCAGAGCGCGGCCGCGGCCCCACGCGTGTTGCCGTAGGGCTGTGAGGCCTGCTGACTGATTCCGAGAGTCGTTTTCGTCGCTCTGTCTCTCTCGCACGCATGGAGCGTGCCGCATAGGTGCGAGAGAGACAGATACGAAAACGACCCTCGGAATGAGTCTGCTGGCCGAACTGGCCGCCAACAGGCAGCACCGCGGGCCAGCCGTTCATTAGGGACATTATCGCGGAGGGGCGCCACCAGGCCGCCATCCGCGGGCCGCAGGGGGCCGCAGGGGGTGGTAAAGCGGCAGGCTGCGTCCGAACGGCGCCGCGGTCTCTCGCACTCTTGCGGCGTCCCCCATAGGTGCGAGAGACAGCGTCGAAAGCACCGTTCGGCACCAGCCTCCTGGCGGGCCATAAACAGCGTCCGATCATTTTATTCATCAAGGCGGCGAAGCGCGAAGCGCTGGCAGCCCAGTTGGCCAGCCCAGTTGGCCAGGCCAGACGCCGGGCGCGCGGGTTTTACCTCCACGTCGTTGCGCGCGTCCTCGTCGTCGCCGTCCGCGGAGACGGTGCCGGCCGGCGCCTCGACGGCCACCTTGACGTGGTGCGGGGGCGGCCCGGGCGGCGTCGCGCCGCCGATGTCCTCGGCGACGGGCAGGCGGTTGGACGGCACCAGCTCGGGGCCCGCGCCGGCCTTGGTAAGCCCCGGCGTGCGCCGCGTCGAGTCCCTAGAGATGGTGCCCGCCAGCACGGCCGACGCCTCGCCGCCCTTGTCGGGGCACGGCGTCGACGTGGGCGTCGACGAGGCCGGCGATGACGCGGTCGGGTCGTCGGCGAGGCCGAAGCCGGGGGCGATCGGACTGAGCGGAGGCCGACCGCCACCGAGTCCTCCGGGGCCCTGCAACCGGAAGGGCATCTGGTTGCCGGCCGGACAAACCTCTCAACGGAGTGCTTCACGTCGACCGTACCTGGTAGTACCCGTTGGGGCCGTAGCTGACGGACAGCGCCGTGTTCATGGTCTTGCCGAACACGTTGAGGCTGTGGCTGGCGGACAGCGACCCGCTGCTCGAGATGGCGCCCCCGAGGTGCAGCCCCGCCAGGAAGCCGATGCGGCCCAGCAGACGACGGGCGCCGCGGGTGGCGTCCGCAGCGTCCGCGGCGTCGACGGGCACGTGCAGGCGGCAGAGCACGGCGTCCGAGCCGTGCGGCGAGCACTCCACGGGAACCTCGACGTCTGCCCGGACCGATTTTCCAGAAGCCTGGGTTATTTCGCGTCACGGCGCGTCTGGCTCGTCCTGGCCCGCCCCCGCCGCCGTGGCGCAACACTCAGTCGGCGGCCGCCTAATCCGGCGCGGCGGCGCGGCGGAGGACGGGGAGGACGCCGCCGGCGCCCTGATCCTGGCCGCGACACCCTTGGCGGCACCTGCCTTGGTCATTGACCAGGACCGGCAGTCCCCGTGACTGGGCGCTCAACGTGCAGGTCCTTTACCGTTGGCGTTGGCGGGGCTGACGGCGAGCAGGGAGCGCGCGCTCGCGGCGCCCAGCGCCGAAACCAACACGACGACGGCGACGACGGGGCGGGCCATGGCGAGCGAATGACGGGCACCGGGAGCGCTGCGATGGCTTCGATGCTTTGCCTCGCCCGGGTGAAAGTGTCCGCCCAATTAGGTCCCGATTATGCAGCAGCCTGACTCGCCTGTCTCTCTCGCACTCGTGGGGCCGTCCAGCCGTCCCTAGGGGCACGAGAGAGACAGCGACGAGGCGCTGCTCGGAGGCAGCCCGCAGACATGCTGGCGGTGGGTGGGGGCTCGTCGCGCATGCGGGAGGCGGCGACGCAGCGCTCAGACACGCGACGCCCGCCGACGCGGAGCCGGATCATTTCGGGACAATGCGAAATGCTGCACCGTAGTGCAACATCCCGGGGGAAGGGAAGGCCTCGGGGAGACAGCGCAGCGACCGCACAGCGGCCACCGTCCGCAGAGGAGGCCTGGAGGCCTCTATGGAGGTCGACGCTGGGGCCCTGGGGCCGCTGGAGGCGGTGCCCGGCGCGCCCTTCTCCCGGCCTTCCCGGCCAACCCGGGCCAACCCCTTTCCCCTTCGTTCGCCGTACGCGTCGCCACGGCACTGCAGCACGCAGTGTGGGCAGGCCGAGACGGATTGGGGGCAGCACAACGTCGGCGAATAAATTTTTGCTGCGACCTTGAGACCAAGATCTTATAGGGTGCTCTCTGCCCTGCTGGTACTAACAGTACTTTGTTTCCCAAGTGGATTGAATATTTGTAATTGAAAAGTACAGCTTTACGTATTTTTGAGGCCCCCGTGTTGCGCTACTACGCATTTGTCTTATCTTTGTGGGGTGAGAGGGTGGGGAGGTGGATTTGACGGTCCGCGAAGCACCAACAGGAAACACGGCGTGGCGGGGCGACGGGCTGTGGCGGGGCGGAGTGGGCGGGCCGGCCTGCGCCCAGCAAGGCCCTCAGCGCCCCAATCCGGGATCTGGGGGAATCAAATAGTGACAGGCTATCATGACTCGGTCCTATCTGTGGAATGGATGTTAGTAAGGCCCTCCCGAGAGTTGCTCAGCGATTGGGGAAGGGAGGGACCGGTGGAGACGCTCTGGCAGACAGACAGACAGACAGACAGACAGACAGACGGGCTTAAAACCCTCGGGGTACTGTTGCTCTCGCTTGCATGTGTTTGTAGCTTTTCAGGGTGAAGTGATTGCGTCACGACACTGGAAGGCTGGAAGGTCAACTATCGGCGGCGCCCGCATCTTTTCACGTGGCGAAAATGCATCGAGCTGCTAGACTCAAGGTGACTGACTATGAAAGTCATAGGGGTGGAGTCAGAAATGAAACTAGGTTCAAAACGATGATGCAATTTTTATTTAAAGATATTTAACATTACTTATTGTCCAACAAAAATATTTGATCTGTGTATTCTTCTTCTTTTTACAGTTCATTTATACAAATAAAATATGTTTATCACAAGTCTGAGTTCAATACGTAATTACAACACACTCAACGAAGAAACGCTGGGCTTGACAGTACATCGATTTGATCAAAAGATGCAAGATGTCTGCCAGGTAGAACAGACATATTTACGATAAAAAATAAATCTTCAGCCGAACAAAATTGCCTCATTTCACAACGATTTTATCGCGATGCTCCCTGTACAAGAACTAACTGTTAAACATCCCATCGGCTGTGACTAGGATTTACACCATAAACTCGAACGTAACCGGCGCACTTATAAAATATCCGAGCCGACGACCAAACGGACCCGAACAAAATAAATGGCCTGCTTTCAATTCTCTGGACGGCTTTGCCTATTTGCTTTTGATTTGCACAATTTGTTACCCTAGACGTAACTAATATTTGACACTTTTTGGCATGTTGGTCCGTGGGGTGAGAGTGTCTTGAGCACATAACCCGCGCAAACTGGGCGAATCCATTCGAAATCTGTCTTTTCTTTTTCACCCCACGCCCGGGCGGCCGGTCCGGGACCGGAAGGGGCGCGCAGTTCCATCACACTGCTATGGACGTGTACTTCTGCTGGGGCGTGAGGTCCTCCGGGGTGGGGGTAATCTCCTGCGGATTGGCCGGCTCCTCCTCGGCGTACAGCACGAGGTCCTTGCCCAAGTAGCAGACGACGGCGTCGAGCAGCACTCCGATCGTGGTGATGACTGCCAATCAAACGCCGCCAAGGATCAGACTCTCTGTCGCCGTTTCACAGTGGGCCAGAAGACCGGTGGAGGCGGCCAAAACTCTAGACAGGTTTTGGGCTCCAGAGTCACTAAATGGGACTCGAACCGAACGTGTGACCCCACCAATGGATTCCCCGTCCGGAGAGCAATCCCTTGGTGGGGTCACACGTTCGGTTCGAGTCCTGTTTAGCGACTATGGAGCTCAAAACGCGTCTAGGGCCGCCTCCACCGGTCTTCTGGCCCACTGTGCGTGGACGGCCGCGGACAGTAAACGTACCGGCCGCCGTGGCGTTGATGTAGGTCCGGAAGCTGGCCTTGTCGTACAGCCAGCAGTTGCCCTTGCGACCGCAGGACTCATCCCACACCAGGCACGTCGAGTCTGCAAGAGAGAGACGGAGACAGAGTGGGGGTTGCCAACCGCGCCAACCGCCAACAGTGTAGGGTGCACGTATTTCCGGCGCTACCAACCGATAATGGCTCCGAACAGTATCGGCCCGGGGATGAAAGCGAAAATGCTGATGAGGAACAGCGACAGCCCCTGCGCGAAGGCTTTGTCCTTCGGGTCCACCGCCCTGCACACCAACGAAAACAATACACGACCCGCCGTCAGACGGATTCTCTTGCCAGATCACGAATGCACAAGTTGTCATTTTGACCGTCGCCGAGTTCCCACCTGTAGTTGACGAGGAGGTTGCCGACCTTCCCGGAGGAGCCCAAGCTGTGCATGAAGGTGGTGATGATGATGAAGGTGAAGAAGACGTTGTGGCAGTCCAGGTCGCAGGGCCCCGCCCGCACCGCGCGGTTCGACACCTGTGGCCACGGCGTCCAGCCCGGGTAGCCGTCGCCGCCCTGCGTGTAGCCTTGCCCGTAGCCCGGCGTGTAGCCCTGCCCGTAGCCCTGCTGCCCGTAGCCGGCCGTGTAGCCGGAAGGGTAGCCGCCAGCCCCGACGCTCATGTACTGGTGGTGGTGGCTGGGGTCCCCCGACCCGTGACCAGGACCCCGCCACGCGTCAGCCCCGCCGGACACGCAAGTGCAGTTGTCGTACATCTGTGGAGAGGAGAAGTGCGGGTTCAAACTCTCGTCCGGGACGTTGACCTGGCTTTCAAGTTGTCGCTGCTCGCCTTGATGTCGTTGTGGATGATGCTGGACGTGCAGCCGGCGTGGCAGGCGGAGTAGAAGGTGAGGCCGAGCGGCTCGAAGCACACCGGGTCGTACTTGATGTTCTGGCAGCCGCAGTTCAAGTTGCACGGCATCGTCAGCTCCACCCTGGTCAACGGCATCATTCAAGTTTCGTTCCAAACGCTTCACTGCACGAGCGTGCTCGCACTTACCTGCCCTGGTAGTCCTGGCGGTAGCCCTGCAGGGCCACCTCGGGGCAGCCCAGGAAGATGAAGGAAATCTCGCTCAGCACGTACGTGGCGCCCACGATGACGTTCCAGCTCAACAAGTACAGCGGCCTGGGCTTGAAGCGCGAGATGGCCCAGCCCGACACCAAGAAGCCCGTCATCATGGCCAGGATGGAGATCGGCGCTGCGGGGTGGTTCATCCCATTCAGTGAGGGGCGGCGAATCGTTTTGAAGTAACCCGGGAAATGGAAGACGTTGCCTACCCGTGATCATGGACGCCTTGGCGGACGACTGCTGGAACTGCACCTCCATGTACTTGGTGATGAAGGTGATGTAGGCGGAGCCGCCCAGGATGTAGAAGATGCCGGACCAGATGTTGCACAGCAGCAGCTTGTTCTGCAGCAGGCGCATTAGGGCCCCGGGGAAGGCTGCAAGACAAGGAACGCGTTATTCGGGTTCCTCCTTCTCTCTCTCTTTCTCTCTCCCCTTCCGGGCCGCACCTTTAAGCGTCGGCTTCTCGACGGCCTGTGCGGACGCGAGGCCCTGCGTCGCGGGCAGGGGCTCCACCTTGAAGGACGTGCCCGACGTGAGCGGCCGTTCGTCCTTGGACAGGGCCTCCTTGGTCTGCTGCAGCGTGCCCAGCACCATGTTGCGGCCCATGTTCTTCTTGGGCAGGAAGCGCGGGAAGAAGGCCATGAGCGCCGCGAACATGAACATGGTGGAGCCGAGCAGGATCCAGCCTGGAACAGAGATCACGTCCCCGAATATGTTGTCTTCCTTCTTGTTTTTGGAAGCGGGCGGGGAGCTTACCCAGCCACCAGGCGCCCAGCCAGCGCGGGTCCTTCATGCCGATGACGGGCGTGAGGGACGGGTCGATGTAGAGGCTGAGGCAGGCGAAGCCCAGCACGAAGCCGATGGCGGGCCCCACCGTGCGCAGCGCCATGGTCAGGCCTGCGACAAAGACAGAGAGAGCAGATAGACAGAGCGCCTGCGGGGTAGGCAGCCCAACGTACGCACGCGCACGCCGCGCTGCCTACCCGCCGCTCCGCAGGCGGCGTGTGGCCCGTGGGCCCCAGCCTTGGCAGCCTACCCAGCAGCATGGGGGTGTTGGTCTTCTTGGTGTTGTCGTCCAGGTAGGTCTGGCCCAGCGAGAAGTAGAGGGTGGTGCCCACGCCCAGCACGAACTGCGACAGGAACACCAGCCCGGCCGGCAGCCACGTGTACTCCAGGTCCACCTCGTTGTCCAGCGGGCAGTCCGGGTCCGGCGGGTGCGACCACGAGCACAGCTTGGCCTGCTCTGTAGCAGCGAAGGGTCAGCCCGCGCCGCCCAGCAGCCAACTCCGCCGCCAAAAAGGCACGGCCAGGGCTTACCGCTCTGCGACACGGAGTAGTTGAAGTGGCGGTGCTGCAGGTACTCCTCGGTGAGGGCGATGGCGTCGGGGCCGGCGCCGAACACGAAGTGCGGCAGGGTGAGGATGAAGCAGGAGGCCGCCGACAACGCAACGCCCCAGGCGATCCACAGCGGCCGTCGGCCCTGGCCGCCGTAGTACGTGAGGAACAGGGACAGCATGATCTGGCTCACCTCGTTGCCGCTCAGCATGATGCCTGCAAACTCACAGTTTATCAGCCACTGTCTGTCGGTCTCTGTCTGTCCGTCCGCCCCGCGCGCCGCCTCCACGTCGTCCTCCAGCAAGGGGAGGGACTTGAACCTCTCTGGCTGGCGGCGCCAAACCTCGCGCCAGCCCTTGACGCGCCCTGACGGGTACGTCGGTACGTGCCTGCCCCTCTCTGCCCCTCCACCTCTCGGCCGAACCGAACCGATAAAAGGCAGGCTGCGAAACAGCGCCACTAAAATGTTATTTCATTCCAGAGAAAACAAGAATATTGCGCGCAGCGGGCAGGGCGGGGCAGGGCGCAGGCCGCGGGCAGCAAGTTTCGCATGTTGTTTTCGTTGGGTGTTGGGTTCAAGGCGGGGCGGAAAACGCACGGCACGGCCCTAGTTTGCTGCGAGGCTTTGCTCGTCAGGTGCAGCGGCCGTGCCGGGCCGTGCTTTCCTCCCTTCACAGTGAAGTGGTGCGCGGTGCGCCCTTGAAGGGAACCCCTTTTCCTGCTGAGCCCCTCGGCCTTTTAATTCAGACACTCGTGGAGGCCTCGGTCCCGGCGTCTGCCCGCAGGCTGCCCCCGCGTGCCGCTTCACAGTGGGCCGGAAGAACGGTGGGGGCGGCCAAAATTCTAGACGCGTTTTGAGCTCCAGAGTCACTAAATGGGACTTGTGACCCCACCATTGGATTCCTCGTTAGGAGAGGAATCCATTGGTGGGGTCACACGTTTGGTTCGAGTCCTGTTTAGCGACTCTTGAGCTCAAAACGCGTCTCGAATTTTGGCCGCCTCCAGCGGTTTTCTGGCCCACTGTGCGCTTGGCGTGTGTCGCGTGCCGCGTGCCTCCATGGCGGCGTGCTGGAAGCGGCGACAGCGCCCCTTTGCCGGGAAAAAGTTCCCGGAAGCAGAGCAAAGCAGAGCGAGGCAGAGCGAGGCGCACGGGGAGCGAAGAAGCGCCCGCCTCCGTGCCTTCCCGCCAGGCCGCCACCCAGGCAAACAGACTTGGCCACGTTACGGGAGGAACATTTGGGAAGTATTCTCAACTCCAACTCTTTTGCTTTTTCTCGTTTGCAGACAAAGCCGGAAATCAAAGGGTATTCCACGGAAGAAACACCGTGAACCGGAGTCGGGTCACTGGTCATATGGGACTTCCGTAAGCACATCAAATGTCATCAGCGGCCCTGCCAGGATAATGGGCCAGAATAGAGATGCAAATTTTCCGGAAACTTTCAAAGGGTCGGAAAAAAACAGGAAAAGTTGGAAAAAAACCCAGAAAATTTGGAAAAAAAGGAAAAATAGGAAAAATTAGTTTTTAAGCACTATGATCATGGAATCTACTATTTTTGTGCTTTGTTGCAACTTTACTTGTACTGACAACCCGAGATTCACAACAGCAAGCTCAAAAAAACGCACGAGAAGGAATCATAACAGGGTATAAGTAGTATGAGTGCACTGAGAATCGTGTTCACATAGGGATAAAGGTATGCTTTTAGCCTACTTTCAGGCAAAATGCCCGACTTTTTGCCTACTTTTCAGGCTGAATCTTTCCAATTTTTCCGAGGCCAGGGAAAAAAACGAAAAAAAAAACACTGTTTTTTTCCAATGTTTCCGGAAACTTTCCGGGCATTTTCAACCCTAGGCCAGAAACCAGCGACAAAAATTGTCCACAAGACATCTTTTAGAGTACAGGTGATGTAAATTTTGCCGTTCTTTGCCTCGTCTACTTTTTCTTTTCCCCTTTTTCTTTTATATTTGCCTCCTTTTCGCGAAAGCGCGTGGCGCAGGATTAAGAATTCGCCCTCATAGAAATTTCATGGTGTCGTGCCGTGGCGCGGCGGGGCGGGGCGGGGCGGGGCGCGGCGGGGCAGGCGTGCCGGTGCACGGGACACGCGTGCCCTCTGAGTGCGCGGACGCGCAGGCTTCGCGGACGCGCATAGCTTCACGGACGCGTGTGTGAGAGTGCGACGGCGTCGGACGGCGCGCGCGTAAAGGTGTGTGAGTCCGCGAGTGCGCACCTGCCGCTGCAATCTAATGACGTACACATGGCACCTCATGAAAAAGAACTCATGAAACATTTATTTTGGAATATAAAACGGGGCTTTGCGTGCCGCCGCTGGATCGGCGGCCGCTGGACGGGTAGAAGGGTGCAGAGGGATGGGCTGTGCGTTGCCTGGAGCCGCCACAACATTTTTTACGACTCTATAGCATTCGCGTTGTTTGCATCTTTTCGATTTTCCAGTGTGGTTCTCAACGGTTGGCAGTCCGAATTCTGGTGGACCTTTTAAGTTAGTCAGAGACGAAACATCGTGCCGAAAGTCGTCAATAGGGTATTTCGGAGCAGCCTTGGCCCGGAAGAAGAAGAACAAAAACGGAAGTTGGAAATGGCAGTTTATATGAGAAATATACGCTGCGGATGCTCATCCGTAGCGTATATTTCTCATATAAACTGCCAATTCTAACTTCCGTTTTTGTTCTTCTTCTTCCGGGCCAGGGCTGCTCCGAAATACCCTATTATTTTTTTTGTGCAGGTGTACAGAAAAATTAAAACGAAGCAACGCCAGCTTACCCGTGGTTTTACTGGGGATCTTGAAGCGCTTCTCCAGAGTGGTGAGCGTGGAGATGAAGTAGACGTACGCCATGGCCTGCACGGTGCCCAGCAGCCCGTACACCACCAGGAACGTCCTGGAGGTGGCGAACCGGTTGAGGCAGGCCGGCCGCCAACCCCACATGCCGCACAGGTAGTCGTTGTTCGTGTCGGCCACCTCCAGCGTGGAGGCCGTCTTGGAGGAGTCCCTGGACGCCATCCTGTGGATCCTGCGGCAGGCAGACAAGGGCCGTGCGTTATGGCAGGGCGATGTTCGAGTGGGGGGTGAGGCGCATGGACCGCATTACAAGTCCACTGACAGATATACTCGGACCAGAAAACGAAGAGCCCTGGGTCCTCGCGGTCGAGGGCTACCTGCAATGCTAGCCAAGGCGGCAGAGGCCATAAACCGCGAGAACTCAGAGCTCTTCGTTTTCTGGTCAGAGTATAGTTTGACAACAAAAAGTACAAAATGCGTCGGTTAATTGCTCTAAGAACATTTTCACTTCCTGCAATTGTTTGGCAACGGAGAACGCGATATCGGTGCGTGTCCGCGCGCTGGCGCGCTCTGGTCCACGCTGCTGGTTACAGGATCAAGTCAGATCAGAGGGCGGGCTCCTTGCTCCTCCCACATCGTGTACGACACGACACTGGAGGGCGCTGGCGCCGCTGGCCTAGTAGTCCCACGGGCACACAGACACACGGACACACGGACCTGGTCCGGGACCACCCCACTTGTCTGCCGCCAAGCTCGGCCAAGCTCCGCCAAGCTCCCCACGTCCGCCAAGCCGAGGGCGGCCAAGGACGCCATGGGCGGACGACGGGGGTATGAAAGGCAGCTTAAGCTGGATCTTGTAGTCTTGTACCTCATCCCGGAGAGATAGGTTGCCCGGTAAGCAGGCTGTGCTTTGCCTCGGGTGCCTTGCCGTGGTCCTTCCCTCTCGCCTCCCGCCTCACGCACACTCACACACACACACGCACACACACACACAAAACCTCACAGTGCACGAGGACCACAACGCTCAAACCCTGACGGAGACAAAGCATTTTTCGCCACAAGCGATATTTCTCTTTCCCGCGTCACACACACACACACACACACACACACACGCGCGCGCGCGCGCGCACACACACATGCACGGATAGTGAGGTGAGCAATAATGTCGGCGACGCTTCGCGCTTCGCCTCGCGTTCCGCGTCGCGGCCGCGGGCCTCCCACTCCACTGTCAGTTCCGCGGAGCCACCAAGACCACGCCGCGCCAAAGCCACTCGCCTTGACCGCGAGCGGCGCGTCGCGACGCCACCGCGAGGGGGAGGGGGAGGGGGTCAAGAGGCCGCGGCAGCGCGAGTATGGAGGCAGCTGGCTCGCGTAATACACGCCGAGTGCGCGCCCCGCCCCGCCCCGCCCCGCCCCGCCCCGCCTCGCCCCGCCCCGCCCCGCCCCGCCCCGCCCCGCCCCGCTCACCTGCAGCCGGTTACCCAGGACTCGGCGCGCCACGCGCGGTTCAAAGAGCCAGCACCTTGGCGGCACGGCGGCGCGCAAAATGGATCGCCGACGAACGCCGCGCTCCGCGTCTGGGACCGCTCTGTGGCGGCGGCCGGGCCGTCGGCGTCCTGGAGGCGGCTGATGACGCCCGTCGGTACAGCCCTGGCACTGCCATGGCACAGCCCGCGCCGACAGCAGCGCGTTACGTGGGTGAGCGTCCATTTGTCCGCGCGGCTGGACAACATCCGCTCCGTACTCCGTACTCAGTCATTTCGGTTCAAGGATGCACCGCGCTCGGCGCTCGGCCCGCCGGCCAGGCACGGCCAGGTACTCTCGGCTTGATGAGTTGGCCCAAGAAATGACGCCGAATAGAGCCAAGCCGTTCGTCAACATGACAGCCAGGCTGCCGCCGCAGGCTGTCACTCTGTCTCTCTCGCACTCGTGGGGCGTCGCGTTGCGGTGTGAGAGAGCAAGCGCGACGGCGGGCCGGTCGCGGATGCGGCGGCGTCCTGCACACTGTGATTGCATCCTCTGGAGGACCGCGTCGCGACGCGTCGGGCTGTCATGCACGTGCCGCCACTCCCGGAAGCGTGGAGCGGATTCAAAATTGTGCACGGGAAATAGGGAATCAAAGATAACACCCACCTTTTTATTTTTTCGTTTTTCATGGTGTGGCGTTGAGGCGCCACAACCAGCAGCGCTTGCCCTGCCCGGCCTGCCCACAATGCCTCCAGCGCGCTCTAGCGTGTGTTGATGCCTGTCGCCGCGTCGCGCCGCGGCGTCCTGTCGTGTCGCCCCATCCTCCTTCCCATCCTCCCACACCTCAAGGGCATCCAAGGGCTGTTAGTCAAGGCCGAGACCGCTGCTCCAGTTTCAGAGGGCCGTGTGCGTGTGTGTGTATGTGTGTGTGTGTGTGTGTGCACGCGTGCGAGCGTGCGTGTGTGAATGTGTGTGTAAGGGTTGACGGGGAGTGTGAGTGAGTCGGTGCGTGTGTGTGTGCGTGCGTGTGTGTACTTGTGTGGAGCGCGGAATGTGATCGACAAAGGGGGATGGCAGGTGGATAACGTCACTGAAAGGGAAGGGGAAGGGGCGGAAAGGGGGAGGGGGAAGGGTGCGGAGGAGTTGGGCTGGAAAAATAAGGCGAGGAGGAGAGAGGGCGGCGGGGGCAGCTCGTATCGAGGACAAAGGACCGCCTTTGAATGTGGCAGTGAGGAAAAGAGGAATTGGAGAGAATTCAAGAGAATTCGAGGGGACACCAGAGATTTCCATTCATATGGCGCCTTCTCTCGCTTTTATAGAACGCGTGCTCGAGTGAACTTTGCGTGCATGTGTTTGTGCGTGTGTATTTGTGTGTGTGTGTGTGTGTGTGTGTGTGTGTGTGCGTATGTTTATGTGTGTGTGCGTGCGTGCGTGCGTGCGCGTGTGCCTGTCTATGTGTGTGCTTGCCTGTACGTGTGTGCCCCGGTCAATTCATTAGTAGCGGCCGCAGATTGCAGCAGTTGATGATGGGGCGAGGGGCCCGACGGGCCGACCCGACGGGCCGACGGCCCACCGGGTCCGGCCTGCCCCGCTCCGCACACAACGGGTAAGTCGAAGCCGGGCGCGAAGCGCGAAGCATGGCGAGGCATGGCGGAGCATGGCGGAAGCAGCGAACAGAGAAATCAAACACGATGAATAATTCCGGGTCACGGCCGGTACGCCGCGGCACGGGGTGGTCGCGGTGGCGAGCGTGGGTGTGGCGGTCACTCGCTAATCGGAGGGGAGCGCCAACAAAACGACGCCGCTTTAAATCAATTTTCTGTCAGGATACTTTTGAGAGCTGGGACGCGTCCAGGCCATGTCATTAACGTCATCCTGGTGCCGTGGAAGCACAGCGTTACGACCGCCGGGTCCACTTCCAGTGCCTCCAGTGTACTTCCAACAGCAGCTGTCCAGCCGTTGTCCCGTCCTGTCGGCGCTGCGGCGGCAGGACGCGGCTGGACCAGCAGGACGACAAGACCAGCGCCAGCGCCGCCCAGCTGGTCGGGCCGGACGCTGGCGGGGCTGGCAGTGCAGTGGACGCTGGCACGGGCCCGTGCCGTGCCGTTCGCTGCACCAGACTCAGCAGAGGCAGAACAAGTAAAAAGCCTGTGGAAATAAGGCGTACAGTGCACGACGCGCAGGACGACGACGACGCTCGGCGCGCCCCGCCCCGCATAGCAGGTGAGATGCCCGGCCGGCAGCACCGGCTGCAGTCTGCGCTCTGTCTCTCTCGCACGCCTCCCCCACGCCTCGCGAGTGCGAGAGAGGCAGGCGGCCCGGTGCACAGTGGGCCAGAAGACCGGTGCAGGCGGACAAAACTCCAGACGCGTTTTGAGCTCCAGAGTCGCTAAACAGGACTCGAATCGAACGTGTGACCCCACCAATGGATTGCTCTCCGAACGAGGAATCCATTGGTGGGGTCACACGTTCGGTTCAAGCCCTGCTTAGCGACTCTGGAGCTCAAAACGCGTCTAGAGTTATGTCCGCCTCCACCGGTCTTCTGGCCCACTGTGCGGTGCAGCGGCCTGCTCGAGGCGCTGTTCCGGCCGTCCTGGCTAGGCGTATCGAGTGACGGCGGGACGCGGCGACGCAGCGGTACGGCAGCGCCGCGGTGCGTGGTGCCGTCGGCACACCGTCGTGCCGCGTAGTGCACACGGAGGAGCCTAGCCGGGGTGACTGACACGTCGGTCACGCCCTGCACGGCCTGCACGGCCACGCCGCGACACGCTCGGGGGAACGGGCCGCGCGCACCTGTGTGTGTGGCGTGGCGGCGCGGCGTGGCGGCGTGGCCACCGGCTCACAGTATACAGGGTGCTCCCCAGCAGGCCGATCCCTAGCAGTGTGGCAGGATCGGTCCGCAGGTGCTCGGCGTCCCCCCTGGCGTCCACCCTGCGACCGACGTCGACGCCGTCCTATCAGCATTGTGCCCGGTCAGTCCTCCGACCGCGCCGCGCAGCGCCCTGCCGCGTATCAGCTGCCGACTCCCTTGCCATTCACCGCGAAAACAAAGGCGGATAAACTGGGTGGGAATGTGGTGCGCCGTGCCGTGCCGTGGCGTGGCGTGCCGAGCCGGCGTTTTCAATTTGTCGGGCAAGGTTCGACGGGCCGGGCAGTATTCATGGATGCAGTGAATCCCGTCCCGTCCTATCCCGACCGTAGTATCTCGACCGCGTGGAATGGTGTGCCCCCTCCCCCTCCCCTCCCCCTTTCGCTCCGCCGCCCACCACGTCTGCTGATGCATTCCTTCCTCCAGGCCTCCAGCAAGGCCTCCAGCAAGGCCTCCAGGAGCCGTACAGTAATTCGGCCCCATGTGCGCGAGCGGCGAGTGGGGCTCGAAGCCGCCGAAGCTACAGACCGATTCCGAGTGTCGTCTTCGTCGCTCTGTCTCTCTCGCACCTCAACGGGGGGGCCCAGGAGTGCGAGAGAGACAGAGCGACGAAGACGACTCTCGGAATCAAGTGTGCTGCCGAAGCTGCCGAAGCGCGGCACGTGTCCGATGGGAAGATAGGCCGTGCGCCGCGCTGGTTTCTTATCAATGGCACGTGTGCGACGGCGACGGGCTGCCTCTCAACAGTGTACTGTCTCCTGTCTCTCTCGCACTCGTAGTGCGTCCGAGGGGTGCGAGAGAGACAGGGCGACGAGGCAGCGGCCCTATCGATAGTGCACCTCGACGGGCGGACGCCGCGGACGGACGAGGAAAGACAGTGTCGCGCTGTCGCGCTG